TCTTGCATACAACTGGCAGGCAACGTCACCTCCAAAAAAAAGAGAACCTAACCAATAGTCTTTGGCATTTAATTCCATGACCCTAGCTGTATCCCCACAATCAACATTCTGAGGATGGTCACAATTCAATACAAACATGATTTGACCAGCCATGCACAGACTGTGGCTACAACATCTTACATTTGGGGGCTTGTGCCAAAATTGGGACAGTAACCCTTTAAACGAGCCTGACAAAGCCATACTCACTGAATGATTCTGCATTGAAAATGTTTCAGACACCACCATCACCATTCCTGGGTTATGTTCTGTCCCACTGGTAGAACTGATCCACAACAGGTGATGATAGAGTTGGTATGGAGTCGTCCCTCGAGTCCTCAATGTTGACCCCATGAGGTTTCATGGCGTCAGGTGGAATATGTGCATGGAAACCTCCTGCTGATTATCACCTATTCCCCCATCCCCTGTTAATTTTTTGTTGTTATTATGTCAATGTAATCCTTAAATTCTGCTGTCAAATCCAATTTCAGCTATTAAATAATTGATTTGTGTTGAGTAGGGCACCAGTTGCAGTCTAAATCAACAGGATGAAATGAATTTGACTAAGAGGAAAAGCAGCTGATTAACTTGGAATTTAGTTTGTTTGGCGCATTACACAAGGATATTGTCTAAAGAGTTATTTGTTCATAATTACAATCAGGGCTATTGGCAATTTGATCAGTGTAGCTAGGTTCAAATAGTGCATTTTCAAACAGTATTCAAGCAATTTTTCTCCAAACACCTGGAATGTCACAACTATACACTCATGATATGATTAAATCTTCTACTTTTGAAGGGCACCAACACAAGACTCTTTCATGTTAAAGTAGCTTCCTTACCTCCTCCATTTTTTTACCATACAGATCTTTGGCTGTTGCTACAGCTGCTAAATTGTTTGCTTCTGCTGTGGCCTAAATTATGTAAAGGGACAGAAAATTGATTGGATCAAATTGGACATTAAATTTTTGTCAGTGTGCATTAAACAAATGTTAATTATCAGGAATAAAAAGCAGGCGTTTGAAATCAAGGTGTAATAAGTCTACTAAATGTCGTAAAATTACAAAAACAGATTTTACATTTATTGGGACATTGATATATCAGTGATCATCAGTTATACCTCATAACAATTAATAATACAAACCTGGCCACAGGATATTTCTGTGTATGAGCTTTTGTGAGGTAATTATGTAGGTGCCTTGCTGGTTTCAGGCACTGATTGTGGTTGTATAAATTACACCATGAAGGTGGACGAAAGGCTGAATGGACCGGCTGATCGATGCAACTCGTTTCCTCAACATTTCCTCATCAAAGAAAGCAGTTTTTCTATATCTATCCTATTAAAACCCTCTAATATTTTTCCACACCTTCATTAGATCACACTTCTCTTCTAAACACAATGGAATACAGGCGAGCTTTATGCAACTCATTCTCAATTTAAGTCACTCAGCCCTGGCATTATGACCACTCCATACACACATTCATTATTAAACTTCAAGTCAATTCATCATTCATTATTGAGAACATTTGTACTGCTGTCACTTATGCATACTCATCACTACAGCAGTATGACATTTTCCACATTACAAGGTGCATTGTACTGGCTGTGGTACTAGACTAGTAACTCAAAGGATACCAGTTCATAGCCCATCATTGAGAAACAGTGAAACTGAATACCTTTAGTAATTTCTGGAAGCAGATAAAATGTCCACAAAAGCTATACAATTATTATAAATATCCCTTGCCATCTTATTGTGGTGGAGAGACTTGAGAGTTCCATTGATCCCAAGAGTAATGCCATTAGGAGTTCTCCACTCCTGGCAGGGCTACCCATGATGGTTAGGTTGGTGTGCAAGAACTGGAAAAAGCACAATCCAAACAAGTCCTCAATGGCACTTCAGGCAAAAGATACTTGTGTGATATCAATGGCTGCAACAGCAGATGAAGGCTGCAGCAGTAAGAAGTCATCGAGGTTTCTTTGCCACCAGAACTGCATTTACCTTCTGTCAAGGACTGTGTGTCTGATGTGCAACAGAATTCCCCCATTAAAAGATGCCCCACACAATGTGCCTACCTAGAGAAATTCAAACTTCCCATACATACACAACACAAGCCCAGCAGTGATCATTGAGAGGTAACGCGGGCAGGATTGAGAGATCTGCAAATCCCTCGCTTCAGACTGGCACATAGGCGGTGGAGTTTGACTCAGTCATTTCACTCTTGGAACAGGACTAGGAGAGTGTTTTGCATGCTGCATGCCGTACACAGGGAAGGAGCCCTAAAAATAGTCAGTTTCATCTCCAATCTGGCTGGAAAATCTCATCTAGTGGGGTCATCTAGGTCTGGTCCAAAAATCAAAGTGAAACTCAATCTCAGAATCTGGAATGTATGATCCTAATGGAAAACAGGCAGAACAATCGTCCAGAGGGAGATCTGCCCTTGTTGCCCATGATCTCAGTTACTTCAACATTGATATTGCTGTCCTGCAGGAGACTTGAAGAGCAGGCAAAACGCAACTGAGGGATGATGATGATGGTGGTCACACCTTCTTCTGGAAAGGAAAACCCAAGGAACAACCCAGGAGTGATGGAATTGGATTCATTATCAAAAAACTGACTTTGCTCATTGTACTTCGGATTGCAGATGACAACATTACCTCTGGTCTTTCAGAAGAGAATCTTCAAGCCTCTCAACGCCTTTGTGGAAGCTTAACAAAGAATTGATCCCAACCTCAAGAAGGCTCAAGTCCTTTACCAACCCATCCCAGAGCAAATTCCAATCCATCCTCCATTAAGATCAACAAACCTGGAACATTTCCCTTACCTGGGGAGCGATCTCACATCTGAGGCTGACATTGATGCTGATATCCAACATCACATCCAATCTATGAGCACCATCTTCGGCCACCTGAGGATGTGAGTCTTCAATGACCGTGACATCCAAAATGATTCCAATATTCCTGCGTATAAGGCAGTCATCCTTCTGATTCTTTTAAATGGCTCTAAAACTTGGATAATGTGTAGACACCATCTCAAGGCTCTGGGGAAGTACCATCAATGCTGTTTGAGACTGATTCTCTGCATCAGCTGGGAGGACAGGGCACACCAGCATCAGCATCCTTGAAGGAGTGAACAGCAGCAACATCAAGGCCATGACCATCGGAAAGCAACTCTGCTGGGCCGGCCACGTGCTCTTAGGCTGCCTGAGCACCAAAGCAAATCTTCTTCACTCAGCTCAAGGAAATCACTCGAACAAGGAGAAGGCCAAGGAAATGTTTCTAAGGCCCTGTGAAACCTTGCCTCAAGAATGCATCAATTCCTCAGAGACTGTCATTCAGACGAAACTGACTTAGAGAACCTCCTGTATAAGCTTCCTGTAATTCTTTGAGAACACTAGCCAGCAAAAGCAAGTACAGAAAAGAAACTGGAGAAAGGAATACCAATGATCTCAAGGCCAAGGACCACTTCGCCTCCCAGAAAAACTGTGTGTAGTCAGAGATGCAGCTCCAGAATTAGAGTCATCAGCCACACGAGAATCCAAAGAACAACTGACCAGTGACACAGAATTTCCTGCAGAATCATATTTGTTAGTGAGTGATTGATGATGGTGATGATTATAAATATCCTGCTGGCGAAATAACATTTTTGAGGAAGGTCTCTGATATCCCTCCTTGGTCTGACCTATATATAAGTATAAGTATATTTCTGGATTGCATGATTGATACTTATCGTCCTTTGCCAGTATTACCTACATTCTTTATAGACCTCTCTTGTGAGGCTGTCTTTTGTGCTGTAAATGTGCATACTACTTTGCTATCTAGGAATTGTTATCATACAAAATTGCCCAATTAACTTCCAATTAGTTTCTTCTGACCCATGTATGAGGCAATTTGTTTCAATCTATTTTATTTGCTCCCAGTTTTGTGTTACCAGGCAATGCTTCATAATGATTTGACTAGAACCACATATTGGACTATAGTCCAAGAGAAATAAAGCAAACCTTTTATTAACTAGCACCTATGGGACCAGTCGTATGCTGGTTGATCAAACATTCCGGATAATCAAGAGGTCCACATAATCAATCAATGTAAAAATACACATTAAGTTATAGAAACGTAATGCAGGGCCTATACACATCACTGCATTACTTTATTTATAGAATAAATCACTTGAATAATAATGCAACTTTGCCTTAAATAAAACTTAACAGCAAAGAGCCTGCTCACTTACGCCCTCAGCTGACTACTTGGATATTGCAGTAGATTGCAGCATTTGAGGAGAAATTGACTTGAAATTGAATCAATTGTTGATATTTCATGTGGCCATTTGATTGAACAAGTATATTTATACTGAATAAATTAAGAACAATAATAATTAGACAGAATAATACAATAAATTTCATGATATTTGAGGTATACAATTTATGCTGGTTTATCAAGAGTGCCAGTTCATGAAGTGCCAGTTAAAACAAAATTTGCTGTAAACGTACTGATATTCAAATGTTTAAGCAGGCCCAGTTCACCTCAAATTTTATATTGGAGCCTTTGGTGGACGCTTCTCACGTAATTTCCCTTTTCTTTCTCTTCCCTCTACCCTAACCCTATCTCCTAAACAAGAAATTCTTGACCGATGTTAAAAATTTCTCTAAAGCATGACAGGTGTTGTGAGGAACTTAGCAGAGGGAGAACTGAACCAGCATCTGCTCACGCTTTAGCGTCATGTGCTCTTCTATAATCTGACACATGTTTTAAAATTAAAATGCACGCTTCAGCAAGGAACTCACTGTTAAGAAAATTACTGCATTTTAATTTAGTTTGACTCTACAGACAATTGTCACACAGTATTACAGAGTAAAATAGACTGACTAAGCATTTTACAACCTCTTAGACAATTGAAAAGGTTGTAGGTAAAGTAATAAGCAAGCAAATAGTTGCTTGCAGTAATGTAAAATTAGCAGTAATGGAGCTACTGTACCTGTAACATGGACTTGGGGTGTGGTAGTTCTTCCCCTTGATAGATCTTTATGTATGCCTATGATACAATTTAAACAGGAAAAAGTCTGGGTTCACTGGTAACTAACAACAAATCATAATTAAACAGCTATGTCATATTTTCAGCATGAATGAATTAAATTGTATTAGCTGGACTTAAAGGTAATGAGAAATGTCAGGTTGAGGTGATGACTTTGTGATTTCTCAACAGTAACCCTGTCATACACACACAAAGAACAAACCGCATTTGATTTGCATTCTGCACTAAGGTGGAAGATCTGAGCATTGGTGGTAGCTGAAGTGTAACCAATGGGTTCTGAAACAAAACTGACCAAGATTCTTATCTTAGGCAACAGTCAAAGGCCTCTCCTACAGGGGAATGTTTGAATGTTGGTTGGAGATGGCATGGATTTGGGCACGTAATGCTCAGTCATGACAACCTAGTGTAACGCCTGGCACCAATCAAAACAAAGTAGAGACTGAGAGTGAATAATGGCTGTTTAGGTATTTATTAGAAAGCACCCAGCACCTATGACTATGGACCAATAAGGAAGTAATAATTTAAGGATGAAAATTAGCAAAGGTAGATATCTAACTGTTAGCCTGAGAGATGACAATGTTCAAATAATTTCATCTATTATTGTTACAGAAACCTATTTACTGATTAAACCCTTCGTCAGCAAGATCCTTTACTAATTAAGATCTATTACTGACTTTGAGAGATCTTTTATTGGTCAGAATTTTATATACCACAGAAGTGCTACATTTCTCACCTCAATAAATGTTTTCTGAACATTAGAGCTCTGCTGCCTCTTTATTGATCAGTTTTCAATGTGTCATTTCTAAATTTTTAAAAATATTTTTTAGATTCAGCCTTTCCATGATTGATGAAATGTTTTCCCTACATTGCACTCTTGAGGCAGTCACTTCGAAAAATCCACAGCATTCTACCTCACGGCACTCGAAACTTGTACTCATATCCATCACTTCCTCCCTCAAAAATCTCAGATCAGAAACTACCAATACAGATATTGTAAGAGTACTGTACTTTGTTTCAATCTCAGTGCAAGTATAACAACATATTTACTTGCAAGTTTCTGTAAACATTTGTGTATAGCATGCATATGAAAATTTGATGCGTAATAAAAAGTGTGTTCTTGGGTGGATGTTGTCTACAAAAGAAAGACAAAAATTAACATGTGATCACTATAGTTATGAATGTGGGACATTTTAATAAGATACCAGATTACAACAAAAATAATCACTTGTAATATTACCTTAAAATACTCCACAAGCCCTCGACCTGTTATTTTATTCTCATTGATTTCTTTCAACTCAAGGTTCTCAGGACACAGGAGCCAAGAAACCAGCACCTTCAGATGTTTTATAAACTCCCCATCTATTTCTAAGCAAAAATACATACACAGTTTTTTGAATTTGTTTAACAATATGTATCTTTATACATTAACAAATTAATAAATGAATTATTAGAAATCTGCAGGTTTCAGATATTAAATAAGTCAGTGAAGACATTTTTGAAATGCATCTAAAGTACATGAGCAATGAGTAATGAATCAATACCTTTTAGGCGTCCGTCAAAATTAGGATTGGTAGCCACTTTCAAACCAGGGTGTGGCATTAGGAAGCAGGCAATATTTGTAAAACAAGAATAAATATGTTTCCTGACATTCTGTAGTTCCTCATGCTGGTTTTCTGATATCTGGAATAAAGTTTGTATGGGGAAAAGAAATCAAACATGAAACATAAGTAAAATTTGCTCCACTATTCAGAATTAGCTCAAGGAAGTTTTAAGTCCTTGCTTTTAATTCACTGAATAGTGAAATGAAAGAAATAGTTTCTGTCAGTGCTCGAAATGTAGATCCCTTTAAGGGTAAACCAGAACAGTTCCAGAGTTGATTGAGAGCAGTAGGCCCAGGTTCAAATCTCATGTGCTCCAGAGGTGTGTAATAAAAGCCCTGAATGGATTGATTTAAAACAAAAAGCTGAGTTTGAAGGGTTTGTCTGGCACAATGGAGTGTCAGTTCCTCAGGGCCAGGAGGCTTGGGTTCAATTCCCACCGGCTCCAAGGGTGTGCCGTAACATCTCTTGATTAAAAAAGATGGGTTCTGCACCCACCAACTAAATTTAATATACTCCCCTCTCTCTTTTCCTATTCTCCCCTTTATTTGTTATTGTTGTAGTGCCCCCGGTGGGCAGCGCTTCTTAATCCTTTAGTGAGTAATGGGTGATTTGGTGGTGCTTTAATTTAAAAGAAAAAAAAAGAGCTGGCTTCTGGAGGGGCTCTTGTGGCACGGTGGCATTTCCTCCTCCATCATTATGATTTAATCCCTTCCTTGTTCTCATTTTTGTTTTGATTGCAATGCCCCTGGTGGCTTGTCAACTGTTACTTGTTTATTTGTTTAATTAGATGATTTGGTGGTGGGTCATCAAAAAAACAGCTAGTTCTTCCCCATGATGGAGTTGTCTTCTGGACTGGGAAAGGTGAAAATTGATATTAGTGCAACGCTAAACTATAGATATACAACAAAGCCCTTGTTAATCTTTGTATTAGGCAGTGAAGACATTCAGAACATGGATATCAGTCTGTTGAACAGTTTCAACAGGTAGAAAAAGGACAACCACATCTGTACACATGTGGATACAAGATAAAAATGGCATATCTACTGCTTCACTTGTCTGTTTTTTTCTGTCATTTCCTACATTCTGTTTCTTTTGAATTCTATGTCTGTGTATTTTCTTTTAGTCATGATGTTAACATATCTAATCTCAGATGGTGACTGACCTGCTGAGTGTTATTAGTAGTTTCAGGTTTTGTTTCTAATTTTCCAGTATCTGATTGACTTTGCTCGAAATAAATGATTTTCACTTCAAAGTTGTAAATTTGCCTAGAAAACTTCACTTCAATTTATCATGTTTCGTTGGTTGAGTCCTTTAGGCTGCAAGTTAATCAACTGAAATATTATTCACTGCACTGTTCTTAAACCACTGATCATGGAGTTTACAATAAAGTACATACAAAGGTCAGGAATCCCATTAGGGGGGGAATTCAGCATTGTGGATATACCTGCAGCACATGGACTGGTTTGAGAAAGCAGCTCATCACCACCTTCTCAAGGGCTACTAGGGACAGGCAATAAATGCTGGCTAGCACAATATCCAGTGAGAACAAGAAAGAAAGAACTTCTCTGGTTCAATAGTTGCTTTTAGAAACAGAAAAGCTGCTATCCTCACCTGACCTGGCGATGTAATTGAGTTCAAAGACAAGAGACAACATTCGGCATTGTAAATTTGGTCCATTTGTTTTTACTCAGTAGAAACACTGCTACAATTACCTTCAAGTTATTTCTAATTATAGTTTACTAGACCCCACAAACCTTCAGACGTTTCTCTAGGAATTTGAAGCCTCCATCGAGACCGTAGTTGAATTCATATGGAAAACTCCAGTCACGGACTAGAAATATAAGTGACTGCATATTAAAAAGAAAATAGTTTTTAGTTCAAGAATTGTTTTGCAGGGTTATTGTGAGAGAATCTATTTTATTTTAATTTTAAAGCATTTTCAGAAGTTCAAAAGGCAATTAAAGCACAAGTTAAATTTTACAAATTGATTTAATTATATTTATAATTCAACAAATAAACAGACACCAAACTAGTGCACACATAATAATATACTTTGCTTCAGCAATATTTAATCAATTGCATGCTCTGGTTTTAAAATCAAAATATTTATCTCTGTAAAGATTTTGCTACATAACCAGTTTGTAGAAGCTGGTTTCATCCATCTAATTTTCAGCACAGCCTCATGGCTATATCCTTCCCAATGATATGAAACACAGGAGACAGCAAATCATGCTATACCACACTTGCACATATTCTAATGGGTTGGTACAAAATTAGTATAAGGAAAATCCCACAGCAGCTTTCCAGTCCAACTGCTCAGTACTGGAGTGAAAGGCAAGATGTGCAGACAATGGAACTTTTTTTAAAAGGCATTAATAAATAGTGATATTAATTTTAAGTTCAGAAATGATCTTCTGTAACTTTGGCATATGTAAACATTCACTTCTTCTAACCTGAAATGGTTTCTGAAATGTTTCTTCCATAGCTAGACGTCCATATTCAGTGAAGAGCTGAAGAAGATTAAACAGCAACATTGAGGTGAACAAATTACCCTCACTAAGTTGAGACCATTACGTATAGACTTTATTAGTTATTCAATTACCTGTAGGTGCTGAAGATCATCCTCTTGAATATTTTGTGACAAGTTATATACCTGGGCAAAGTGAAATAAGAGCCATTACAGTTCTGAAAAGTAAGATACTGTAATTGTTTTATTATCATAAGGCTTTTAAAATGATTTTAACATCAGTTTTAAGGTATCCTTGAGATTCAATGAAATGAACAGTGATTGGTTTCATGAAGCACAGTTGTTTGGACCGAAAGTACAATAATGAAATTTAGCTTGCACTTACATGGACAGTAAAAATGGTTTATTTTGGTTTACAACACTTCCTGTCTCCCACATTATCAAAGTGACTGCTAATAAGTATATATCTAGGTTCACAATTGGAGTTCTACAGATCCCTAAGAGTCCATGAAAGATTTCAAGGAATCCACCACAATTCCTTCCAACACCTTCTAATTCCCCGATTAACTCAACTGACCAACACTGTACCAGTGACATAACGCACTCAGCCTTTCACTACTCCTCTAGGCCAGCAGTTCATACAAACTGTTCAATATTAAAACAAAACTGCCAACCAATAGTTTTAATACGTCCTTCATTGTGAAGATCCAATAATAAAATGTTACTTTGTAACTGTATGATGTTTGATTTATTGCAATTCTATCACAACATTTTTCCTCAGCCCATCCACCTCATTTCCGGATGCCACAAGTGAACCAGTCTTGAGCTATTAGAACGTGCTGGGATAGAAATTGCAAGTGAGGGAAAGCTCTGGGAATTAGACAGTGAGCAGCCAAATGGAGGTGGGAAGGGTGAATTTTTGCAAGTACTGGATGGACAGTCCAATGTCCGTGTTCCTACTTCGTGATCAAGTCAATGGAAAGCACAGACTGGCACTGTCTATCTGTCTGACAGTGATGGTGGCATTTAAGTGGCAACTTGAGGCAGGGGATTTGCAAATTCGGTGATGCTGCCACGATCTTCTCAAAAGCAGACAGGACTCCTGGTGAGGTCAAAGCCTAGCAGTGGCCTCCAAGCAGCATATAAATACTAAGGCTATACATTTTCTGTCACCAAAGTGTAAGGTAGTCAACAAGATTATCTTGTTTTATTTTGAATTTTAAATGTCTTAATGCTTGGAAGGATTTGACCACCTCTGTTTTTCTCATAGCTGTTAATACTCCAGTTCTAGTGTACCACATGAAAATTCCTTAGTTAAAGGAATGCACAGTGATTTTCACAGATATGGCAATAAATCGAATGAACAGAAGTATGATGCTTCAAGATGCTCTCACAGTTATGTCAACATTAATGTTGATAGTGTCTTGTATCTTTTCTCAATTTTTGAGACCATTTCAAAAAGGTCATGACTCAAAATTTCACAAACAAATTCTCCTACCTGCATCGAACTTATCATGGTGCTAAGTGCAAATACTGTAGCAGAATCTCTAAGAGTTGACTGACTATCAAAAGTCCCTTGCGTGTCCATCAGCAATACTGCAACCTGCAAATTAAATATAATTGTTCACAACATTTCAAAGCAGGCAGATGACAATATTATCATTATTACCTGCAACTGTGAAGGAAAAGGAAAAAAATTCTAAAGATGTACGGGAACAATAACAATGATGATTCAACTAGTCTCTCTGATTAAAAAAGCTAAAGTGTAAACATAAATGTTATATTTCAAAGAAACTGACATTAATTGTAAACATATAATCCCCATCAGTTAATTATGTCTGTGCTTACATAGAATATACTTTGCAACCTAATAATTATTTTAAAAAAACAAAAACTATGCAATTATAAATTCTGATTACTCTTCTGTATGTTGATTGCTGTTAAGATTTGCAGTTGTAATAAGACCCCTAAATGCTGGAAATGTACGGCTGGATGGTCTGTGTATGAAAAAGATGGCTGATGTTTAGTTAAGACTCCAAATTAGAATGCTTCTATTCCACTCAAAATATGAAGCTGTCTTTTACAAGTCACAATCAGCCAAGCCCTTTTTGTTTCACTTTGATTACTTGATTTCCACTGTTCTCAGCTTATATTCTGAATAAAGTTGAAATTTCATGATCTATAAACAAACTCAGAAGTCACACTCCAACAGGTTTATTTAAAATCACAAATCTTTTGGAGTACTGCTCCTTCGTCAGATGACAAGATGCTCTTGAATCAGATTTCTTTAAGAAAGTGAAGCATTACTTTATCAGTGAGTCACAAACCGAGGCGATTTGAAAATTAACACACTATCCAAAGCCAACACACTAATTAATGCTGTTGGGAATAAAGCCTGTGTGCATCATAGAGTCCTGCAGAGACTAAATAGGTCAAAAGACTTGCCTCTTTACTGTAAGTTCAATGCAACTCTTCATCTTGGCTGCATGCTCTCACCTTCTCTGCATTAGGCTTGTCTACCAGAAACACTTCACTCCATATCTGAATCCCAGTAGTTTCTCGCTCTGAACCTCCGCGCCAAGAGAAACCAGTCAAAGGCTCATCATCATGACCTAACCAGTTATTGCGATCCTAGATAAGAGTAAACGATTCAAAGAATTTAACATAACATACACACATAAATGTCACGTAACATTTTGTATTATTGACAATGTAAAGAAAATTTTATCAAAATGCAGATGACTTTTTAATTTGAGAATATCACAGAATCACAGAATAGTTATGGTGCAGAAGTAGCCGACCGGCCCAACATGCCTGCAAAGGCTCTTCAAATGAGCAGCATTACCTAGTGCCTATATCCTGCTTCCTCCCCATATTCCTTGTACAAGATATTGCACAAATAATCATCCAATGCCCTCCTGAATGCTTCACTTGAATCTACTTCCACGAAACATCCAGATAGGGTATGGAATACACTAACTACTCACTGTATGGAAAAGCTTTTCTTCACAATGCCATTGCTTCTTTTTCACATCTCTTTAAATCTACGATCTCTCACTCTTGTTCCTTTTATGATCAGGAATAGCTAGATGTAAAGGGCAAGCAGATGAGAATGGTGTTTGGAGGGAGTTTAAGATTAAGTAGTGCCAAACCAGGAGGCCTAGGTTCAAATCCCACCCACCCCCGAGTGTTTTATTACATCTCTGAACAGGGTGATTGGAACATATTTAAGACTGAGTAATTAATGTACTCTGCCCACAAAGAGTTTTGTTTTCTGTCATACTAACTGGCTTAGATGCAAATTGTCAATAGTATTCAAGGATGGTTAACTAAAGGCAAAAACTCGAATGTAGAAGATTGTAATTGGAATTACTTTGGAGAACAATTGCTGAAACTAAGTGCAATGTGTCATGATATGACTTTTTACTGATGCTTTATGAGGCTGAACTTTATGACTAATGGAAAATGGAGTGGATATGTGGACATGGATTACACCCTTATTTTAAAAAAGTATAGCTTTGGCACTGTCACATTCTACTAGAAGCAAGATCAGGCAGAAAGTACTCCGAGGTAGACACTCAACAATGGAACATTAAGAAAGGTTTGGAAATTCTACATTTATGGACAATGTCAATTACATGATCTCTGAAATACATATGAGGCGTGGTCAGACTCTGGTAAATTTATTAAACAGAATAATCTATCGAAGATCATAAGTGGAATTTAACAGAATACATATGTAAATTCTAGTTGGAGATTCCTAATTCAGTGCTTACCTTTAAACTACTGGTATCAAACATGGAAAAATTCTTAATATTAACCAGAGCTAGATTTCAATTTTACTTTTGAAACAGATACCAGAAGACAAAAAAAATTTGCAAAACATTCAATCCCAGCACCCATCATGGCTTAAATTGAACATAGAAAACCATCAAAATACAAGCCAAAGCATCAATATGAAAGAAGAAACATAGCTAAATGAAATGAGAATAGAAATACCTCTGGTAATTGTAACAAACACCAGGAATTGGGGGAATGAGAAGTGCATAATGTGCAGAAAATGGTCAACACGTGTTTTAGACAGCTTCAAAATAATATTATGAAATTGTGAGGCAAGGTGTATGATTTATATAAATTTTAAAATCATTATTTTGGATTTTGCATTTTGAACTCATGGTATAAGGGTTTTCTGTGTGCCTGAAGGGGTTTAATGATTATTTTGTGTTTCTGTAGCCATGGTGACATTTTTAAACACAGTGTGACAGAAAGACGTCCTGGAGAATAATGGCTTTTTGTTTACATTGGGAGAGTTTATGAGCAAATGAAGTAAACAATGTAGTGCATTAGACTTTTGGATAAAACATGCTGGAATTTTTGTTGGGGGCTTACAGGAAACATCTATATTTTGGGAAACAACTTTTTAAGTTTGCATTTGGGCAGTCCTGAATGTTTTTTTTTGCTGAAGCTGGGTGTGTCAAACAGTTGCTTCTGAGAAAGGTTTGAGGACTTAGCCAAAGAAAAGCTTAAAATTAAGCAAAAAGGAGGAGGCTGTAGCTTGGATGATGATTCTGGTTCCAATAAAGGATTTGGTCAGAAGAACAATCTGCAAAGTACAAAACTGTCAAAGATACAATACTCGACGCTTATGAGCTCATGCCTGAAGCTTAGCAATTAAATTTGGGACAACAAGGGAGAAGCTTAAATCAGACATTTGAGGAACTTGCAAGGGAGAAAGAAATGCTTTGGGATCAAGTTTAGATCACTTGAGTTACGGAAAAAAAATTGAGAACGTAAAGGAAATTATGATCAGGAAAGAATTCAGAAATAGCATTCCTGCAAATTTAAAGACTTATTTAAATGTACATCATGTTTTCAAGATCAGAGAAGCATTAGCTCTGGCAGATACCAAGGATAACTCCAGTGGACAATTTACAAGTGGTACAAATGGTCACATTGAAATTCAGGAGGAAATTGAAAGAACAGAAGATCTGTGAACCTAAGAAGTACTAGATTTAAAGAACGTACTTAAGGACACTAAAGTAATAATGCAGAACAGTTGGAACCAAAAGAAATAAAAACAAAATATATTTCCACTGAAATAAGACTGCACAAACCAAAGTCATCTTCTGGAAGCTAATACATGACTGTTGTGGGAAAAGGACATCATTGAAGGAAGTAGATGTTAAGACTGTAGAGGCAGTACAAAGTGAACATGTTTCCTTAGAATGTACGAAGAAGGGAAAAATGGTTCAGGACAGTTCTGAAATTTTTTTTGAATATCGACAAGGAGAATCAGACCACTACAGGTTTTGATTATTTCATCTCAAAAGGGAAGGTATAAAGAAACATCCTGGTGAGTGAATACATGAGATGTTTCATAAAGTCCTAGTGGACCAACCAAGTTGTTAATTAATATCTGCTCTTATGTGGGCAGTACATGTGAAGAACTCATTGCAAATGGTTGGGGGCTGCAATATCATTTTTTTTTGGGAGAAATCCAAAGATTTCTTTGGTAATGAATGATCATCCCCAGCTTGGGAAGAGACTATAATTAGTTCCATGCTTTGTGAGCATCTGACTACCTTGCACACAGGGAGAAAGACATTCATTAAGGCTGATGTTTCACATAAAACTTGGTGATCCTTATGGCAATAATTAATACACCATGAGATATAAATGTTGATTCAGGGGACATGGTATATGACAAAAAATAAAGGTAGAAAGAGTGAAAAAAAAAATACAGGTAAGGTTACAGGTGATGACAGTTAAAACAGTAATTTTATAGCATGGCAACGAAACACTTAGGGTGCATTCTCAAGGTTAGAATTATACAGTCCCTACAGTGTGGAAGCAGGCCACTTGGCCCATTGAGTCCCTGTAACTCTCCAAACAGCATCCCATCCAGACCCACCCCCTACCCCATCCCTCTAACCCTGCATTTCCCATAGCTAACCCACCTTGCCTGCACATCCTTGGACACTATGGGCAATTTAGCATGGCCAATCCACCTAACGTGCACATCTCAGGACTTTGATTAGTTGGCTCTGATTACACACTTAAAAAATTTGAGTAATCATAAAAAATGATAAGCAACTACGCACTTTGCATACACCATATATTGGACGTAATGAGAACCAGATTATGGCAGTGAAAGGTTACCTGAATATAGACAAAGGCACACAGAGATCCAGGACAAGACTATTTGCCTAAGAGAATAACAACTGAAAGTTGGTACCAAATTAATATATATGGTAGAAAGGACACTAAATGCCACAATTCTAGAGAGAGCAGGAACATGACTGGCAAATACAATCATTGTCTGAACTTTTGGGAGACGAGAAATAGGATATAAGATCCATAGATTGGCAAAATAGTTAAAAATGTGTGAGGTCAGAAAAAGACATTAATTAGGCCACAGATGGAATACTGTTGCAGTTCTGTCTGCCACACTACAGGAATGACGTGGAGGTGCCGGTGTTGGACTGGGGTGGACATGGTAAAAAAATCACATGACACCAGGTTATAATCCAACAGGCTTATTTGAAAACACTACAGGAAGGATGTGATTGCGCTGGAGAGGGTACAAAGAAGATTCACCAGAACACTGCCTGGTCTGGAGTGTTTAAGCTATGAAGTGACTAAAGCAGAGAACGCTTTTTTTTTGGGGGGGGTGCTGATTGGATTCTATAAATTAGATAAATTAGTCTTTAAATAAAATTATGAAGGGCATATATGGCATAGTTAAGAAGCAGCTCCTACCCTTAATGGAGGGAAGCCCTCAATATATGAAATTTAGTTGGGATTTAAGGAAAAATTCTTTCACCAAGAGGTTGCTCGATATCAGAAACACAATACCTGAAAAGGTCACAGAAGTGGGAACCATCACAATTTTTATGAAGTACTTAGGTGAATACTTGAAATGTCATAGAATATAAGGGTATGGGTCAAGTGCTGTGAAATGGGATTAGAATAGATCGGTGCTCTACAACTGGTGCAGACACATTGACCAACGGGCCTTTTTTCTGTGCTTTAATACTGTACGACAAAAATGTAGGATAAGTTCTGGAAGTGGACATGGAAATTAACAAGGTTCTAGGAATGAGTGAAGTCTTGCAAATGAAATCCTCATCATAGGAGGAGGGGATTGTGTAGTAGTAGTCCTGAACATGATAGGAAAGCAGGTAAAAGTCCCAGTTTGTCAAGAATAAGGATTATGGTGCAGCCTGGCAATACCACAAGTAGAAGAAGCCCTAATCAAAGTTTTAACATCTATAAATTAGGAGATAAATTAATAAAGAACACCAAATGAAAAGAATTGGAGAACTAAAAAGAATTTGGTGTATACACTGAAGTACCATATAAAGGACAGCCAATCTTATCGCTCAGAGTTTTAAGAGGAAATTTGATAATCAAGATGGTAGTGTGGCTTCCTCTCATGTAGGTAAAGTGATCTTGAAGATCTTGTTAGCTCTTTTCACAAAATACACCTGGGAATGCAAGTTAACAATACAAAAGTTTCACTTTTGCAACATGGAAATTTTAAAAGGGAGGTATTTTTGAAATCATGTGAAGATGCACACGATACAGAAATAAAATTAGTGCACTTATGGGTTGAATGATGCAGCAAGTAT